TCTCGTGTATGTCTTTGATGTACCAAGGCGTCACACAGTCTCGCCCTAATGTCCCTAGATAAAAAGTTTTTAATATTATAAATAAGCTTCAGCGCCGCAAATGATTTACGGACCTTTAAAGTAACATGATCCCTAAATCTGACATCACAATCCATTAGGAGGCCAAGATTACGACAACAACCCGCAACGCCCAAGTCACCACTATCCAGCTCAATTCTAAAATGAGAGCAAGCGTTGCGGGCATTGCGTCTACCAAACAACAACATAACCGATTTTAAGGGATTCAATCTTAAGTTGTGACTGGCAGCCATTTTGGTAAACCGAGCAACATCACCCGCAATCCTAAGTTGGGCCACAGGAGCATCATCCTGTCTGAAAGAATAATATATCTGAGAATCATCGGCATAAAAATGAGCTTTAGAATATTTGAGACAATTTTGGAGACCAGAAGTATAAATGCTAAATAAGAGCGGACCCAATACAGAACCTTGTGGTACACCGGCCATTAATCCACGGGCAGCCGAGACGATCATGCCACAGGAAACGACCTGTCTTCGATCAGAAAGAAAATTCAATATTAAGGCAGCAGCATTAGTACAAAACCCAATGTACTTTAGAATAGAATCCAAAACTGTATAATTCACCGTATCAAATGCTTTCGAAAAGTCGAAAAGAATTAAAGCCGTAACCATGTCATCATCAGTTGCCCGCAGTATATCATCAGTTATATGCATCAATGCTGTACCACATCCATGATTTTTACGAAACCCAGACTGACAATGAATTCATCTACCGTTTCAAATAGGAAATTATTAGTAGGATTTAATTTAGAATTATTATAGAAGTCAACAACATCCTGATCAACAACCCCTCCCAATTCAGAAGATTTAGCGAAATAATCATTTATCTCATCTGCATTACCTAAACTCCCGGGCAATGGTTGGCGCCTCTGTCTGGCGACACCCCAATCACGAAGGACCCGGCATAGCTTAGCAGAACTACGCTGAGCCACCACCGAACCAAAGTATGCCTCTTTCTCTCTTCTTATCGCTCCTTCCACGTACCGCCTCAAATCTTTGTAACTATACAGATCATTAATATTCTTAGAGTGCATATATTTAGAGTAAGCCCTATCCCTATATGACATAATTAGTTGTTAAAATTAGCCACTGGGACCCCAAGATCTGCGAAACATCTGTGTGGCTAAACAGATGAGTCCTCGGTATCTTGGGGAAATGGGTTAGATAAGGATTTGTATAATGGAATTTTTTAAGAAAATACCTGGTCATTCAAATATTCAATCGCTTATATTATTCCTGAACCTATCTATCTCATAATTTTCCAACAAATTTAACTTGTGGCCTTTATTTTGAGAATGTAGCAAAATTGACATTTTTGTCTATATAAAAATCATGGTTATGAGTTAAAAGATGTATACCAAAACTTGACTCTTCTCTTCGGATGTGTTCTTTTGTTCTATTTTTGAATGGGCGACCGGTTTTACCTATGTAGTAAGCACCACAAGTATCACAAGTCAACTTATAAACCCCATTCTTGTTTAATATGTTTATTTTATCTTTGGCGTTAACAAGAATTCTTTGCAACGTATTATTATTTTTATAGGATAATTTAGTACCGTGATTCCTACAAACATGTTTAATGATGTGTGCTATTTTGCCTGGATAAGGGATAGATCTGTAAATTTCATCTCTGGAATTAATTGGTTGAAGAGCTGTGGTACTCTTAATATTTTGTTTAATCATGAATTTATTGTATGTATGCCGTTATTTATGCCAATTAATTTTATTATACTTAATTCCTTATTTTTATTTTCTGCAGAAATAGGAGTATTAAACCACCTGTTTGGCAATGGAAAGAATTTGCTGGGATGATACTATCAGTCTGTGTTGGCTTTCTATAGATTTCAAAATCTATTGAATTATTGTTATTTATTAATGTTAAATCCAGGAAATTAAATTTGTTATTTTGTTCTATTTATATTGTAAAATTGATGCCATTGTGTAAGTTATTAACGCACTAGTAGAAATCATTCCATATTATCAAAGTGTCATCTACGTATCTACACCAAAGTATGATGTTATCATTAGTGTTATTTTTAATGTCAAGTAAATTGTGTTCAAGATGGTTAAGAAATATATCTGATAAAAGGCCACTTAGAGGAGAACCCATTGGTAGCCTTTCATTATATTTATAGAATTTATTGTTGAACTGGCAAAAATTTTGTTCTGTACAGATTTTTAAAAGGTTATGAATATGTATACCATTTTCAATTAATAAATCTTTACTTATATCTAATGTATCTTTAATGGGTATGTTGCTGTATAAGTTGGTAATATCAAAAGAGATTAAAGTGAAATTTCGTGGATACTTTAAATTTTGTAATGTATCCATCAAATAGTCTGCTTTAAATTGGATAGTGTTTCTAAAATTGTAACATTTTTTTTAGAATCGGTCGAAATAAAGAACATGTTTTTAATTTTTGTAACCTGTTAATAGGACACATTTATACACTCAATGTCCTATAGTATAGAATAAATTTCAGGAATTTACATCCTTTAAACGACACTAAAATATTCTAGTTTGTCACATCACACAAAAGTGTACAGCCTCTATAACAAAAATTAAATCAAACTTTTGTCAGAAATGATTTAAAAAGGAAATTTAAAAAAATTGCCTTGTCTTTACTTCTAGAAGAATTTATATCTCAAATTGAAACTGAAATATGATAAATACAACGTAAAGACGCTTGAAAAAATCTTTTTTCATTATCTATAATAATAACTATAAAAATAAAACAAAGAATTATTTCCTTTTCATCTTTTTAAAGAATTTCAATTTCTTTTAAAACTCTACATCTGCATACGCAATAAAAACGTTTACACACCGACATATCATCTTTAACTTTCTCTTTCGTCGTTGTCGTCAATTATCAAAAGTCAACGCCGGCGCTGAGCCAGCTCGGAAATAAAGCATTTTCACTTACTTGACTTTGAGACCGGGTCGACTTTGAAGCAAAGCACCGAGTGTAAGTTCTTCTGTTCGCAGTAGCCGGAAATGGCGACGCAACCGGCGAAGAAGGTCAAATGCCAGAAGAAGGTGAAGATCGTGGCCACTCCTAAAATGAAAGAATACTAACTGAATGCCAATGTAACGAAGGGAATGGGAATGGTAATTAGATCGTGAGTTCAAGTCGTTATTGTTATTTGAGAATTTGTTTACCTGAATATAAGCAGAAAATCGTTACCGATGGGAATGGACTAAATACACCGATGAAGAAGCTAACCATGTCAGTAATTGATGTTATTGTTATTGATACGGCTGCTTCACTCAACATTTGGGCCATTCTTCTCGGTACCCCATCTTTTATTGATGTTCGTCTCCATGCGGCTAACATTACAAATGTATCATCTATGCCAATTCCTAAAAAATAATAAAAATTAATATAAATACAAATAAATTATAAATTAATGTTTATTACCAATCATTAAAAATGGGGCAGCTAAATTAATACCAATGAAATCAACTCCTATGTACATACAGAGCCCGAATGCTGATAAAGTTGCCATTGTAGCGCTGATATTTCCTAAAAGACCTAACCATGGTTTGGATCGGACCCAATCGGCCATCATGCAAGTTACTAAAATTTAAAGTAAAATGTTAAAATTTGATTAATTTGTAAGCAAATTGGTCTAATTAAAAAAGGTTGCGTCCGCTCTAAATATCACTAAAATTGGCGTTTAATTGGTAGATTTATAAAATTGGGTCAGTAGTGAATTAGATTGCATATATTTCTTAATTAATTACATCAGAATTAATTACGTTAATACAAGTAATTAACTGAATCGGAATAAATAACATTTCTAAATTAAACTACAAAGATAATTAATATATTTCTAATAAATATTTTCCCAAACAAAATGAAAGTTAAGCAATAAAAATAATAATTACCAACTGAGAAAATAGCCATAATAATAAACGTTGATGAAAAATATGGGATTACTGATCGAGTATTCTTTTCTAATTCGTGATCCAAAGTTTTTGATGCAAAAAGTGCTATTCTGATATGCTTAAAAGTTCCAGCGTTTTGTTCTTTTTGGACGATTTTTAGAAATACTTCTTCCCAAGCTCCTCCTCTGCAACACAAATTCAAAATATATTTAGACATGTATTAAAGATAGATCAAAGAAATTAATTACTTTGCATCCAACTTTTTCGTGTCAACATTCGCAAAATAAACCAATTGAACGGATGGAACGCTTCTTATAAATCCATCTTCATTTAATTGGGTTCCACCAAAATACAATGGAAAGACGTGAGTGTCCCAAGTTACCGGATTTAACATTAAGGGGAATGTTAAATTGAGTTCTCCTTTAATTACCTATAATAAAATTTGTTGTATTTCTTAATACACCATAAAGTTAATTCATTATGGTTTAAAATGTAACAATGTAACTTTCAAAACGGGACACAATGCGCTTTTAGAAAATTGTTTTAACACGATGTTCAACGAACTGTAACAAGTTTAATGTAAGGTTTGTTAATTATTATCACGTTTGAAATCAGTTTCGTTGCGCGTAACATTTTAACATCGCTGTTTTTATGAGTTACTCAAGGTAATAGAAATTCTATTGTACCTTCACCAAATAAATAAATAAATTTATAAATACGAAAATGTTGTTTTTATTTCACCAAGACATTAATTTGATTAAAAATTGGCTACTAACATTATAAGATTCAGCCAAAACTTACAAAGTAGTAATATGATGGATAAAACAAGTCAGTTTTGGCAGTGTTTGGCGTATTATGAGGTTCATTTTTGTTTTAATATTAAATTTAACACGGTGTATGTATACTAAAAATTTTTAGCGAAAAATTTCAAAGAAAAATTGCGTTATAAATGATTAAAAATGGCAATTAGCAAAGTTACTTCATTTCTGAGAGTTAACCGATGATTCATATCTTAATTTGAAGCTGAAATATACTAGTTTATGATATCACACAAAAATATTAATATTTCATAACAAAGATTTCCTGAAAAAAAAGGTTGAAAGGAAAATTGCTGATATGGTTTATGATAGAAATTGTCTAAAATGAAATAAATAGATGGCTCTACATCTCTGTCTTTATTTGTTTGCATAAATTAAAGTTGAAATACCTTAGTTTGTCAGATCATATAAAAATAAAGATATTTCATAATGAAAATTTTAATATATTGGAAATAAAAATGGAAATTAAATAGAAACACTCAGTCTTTATTTCTGGGAATAAAACAAGGACCTATAACTTAAAATGAAGCAGAAATATCCTAGTTTATTTACGTCATACAAAAAGGTGCTGACTTTATGATAAAAATTTACGGTAACAATTTTTTAAAAGAAAACTGTATTATATCCAGGTTATGTTAGAAATGATCTAATATGGAAATTTTTAAATTGAAGCTGAAATATTCTAGTTTTCTATATTACACAAAACTTTACAGCCTTCCTGCTAAGGATTTCATGGAAAAAAATCCTAAAAGATACATTATTGTGCCAGAAATGGTCAAAAATTAAAATAGAGGAAATATCTTCATTTCTGGGAACTAAAAAAATATCTATGTCTTAAACTGAAGCTGAAATATCCTAGTTTAACACATCGTACAAAAATGTGTGATAAAAATACTGAAATGTATTCGGATCATAACCTTAGTAAGCAACTAAAGCTCCAATCACGAACAACCAAAATGAAGGAACATCATCAAATTTGTCGAATTTCGAAATTATTGTTTAACTTCTTCTCCACTCATCCTTCCCTGTTGCCATCCTTTTTCAATTTTTCGTTTGCATTAGCAATTTACTGTCTGTATCTACTGCCTCTTTCCATCATTTTCTCGATTTTCCCACTGAGCGTTTTCCTTGCATTTTATTATTTACTGTTCTTCTGGGTAGATGATCTTCATCCATTCTTATTGCATACCCTGCCAACCTCTATATTTTCACGAACTGTGGTACTAGTAGTTCTCTTAATTCTGATAACTTCTAGGCGCTGCGCCCTCGACTTCCGGATAGCGGTATGCTCACTATGCTTGCCTGGAAGATATAGATGAAATAAAATAGTCTCCGCGGACCAACAGGTAATCACCAACCCGCTCGGCTACCGTGGTGACTTAATTGCCAACTTCTTCCATATAAGACATGTTGGATTTTAAAATGAAATTACCCCAAGCAAGTAGAACGCAAGGCTCAGATTTGTCAGATTTCAATCAGCCTCGAGGATACCAGGGGAAGTAAAAATTCTTCTTAGAAGTGAAACAGATTCATGCAATATTTCTTTGAGGATTTTTTAATATTCCATCAGTTGCTGTCATGAACGATGAACGAGCTGCTCCTTCATAACTTTCTCAGTTTCGACAATCTTGTACAATTGAATAAAGTGGGTAATATCATAGATAGAACATTCAATCTGATGCTTGCTTCTTCACACATAAATCTTAACGTGACACATTCAGATTTTGCTTTGGTTCGCAAAGCCAATTATCATCCAGCATGGTTGGGAACTCTAAATTTATCTCCACCTCAGTTCCTTACGGTTCGAAATATATACCGAGACGCCCAGTATTGCTTCAAAAGAGCTAACCTGCCCGACTTATACAATGCAGTTTTGAGTATTGACTGGAATTATCTGCTGTCTTTGTCATCAGTTGAAGTATCCTGTGATGTTTTTTATACAACATCATATAACGACCTGGACACGTATGTGCCAAAAACCATCGGAAAACACATGAAGTCTAAATATCCTCTATGGTACTCGAATAATCTAAAGCGAATGCTTAGGCTAAAAAAACATTACCATAAATTGTCTAAACGAACCAATTATTCCTTTTATCGAGCAAGGTATGTTCGTTTCCGCCGGGACTGTAAAACACATATGCGAAAGGATTGCCGGGAATATGTAAGGTCTTTGGAACAGAACATGAAGAATGAAATAATGAGTTTCTGGAGATTTGTTAATGTGGCCAGAAACAGTAAGTGCATGAAAACTCACGTCAAGAAACTACCCCGGACGAACTGGACGTGGGAAAGCGAAAACATCAGAGTAAAAATGAGATCGACTAACAGCGAAGAGATTTGGCAATGAAAAGACTATGCGCCGGTACCACATCAAGGGACAATAGATTGAGTGCCGATATGATGATGTCAAATAAATAGAAACGCGGAGAAATATAAAGCTCTGAATAAAATCATATGGAAAGAGATCTGGAAAGCCTTAACACCCAATGGTTTTTCAAACAATCGCCGACAATACCATCAGGCAAGTACTACGACGCAAGATGGCTCGAGAAAAACACAAATTTCCAAGATGAAAAACGATGAGAGAGAAATCGTCACAAAACAAGCGGATATTGTGAAAATCGTAAAAGCACCCGGAGAAGACGGAGTGAAATGGTCCAGATGCGAGGGCGACCACTGAAGGAGGCATTGCTCATCCTGTTGAACACATGCCTACTTGAGTAGATGGCTGTAGAAACAGAGGATTTCAATAGCAGTCAAAGAAGGCTACTACGCGAGTGTAAAAAATTACCGACCAATTGGCTTACTATCTAACCTTAGCCAAGAATAGTCACAGACCGCTTGATCAACAAATTCGACATCTATCAGCCAGTCAGACAAGCGGGATATGTTAATCAAGAAGACAACAGAGTACAACATCCCTCTCTACCTGGCCATAGATTATCAAAAGGCGGTCGACTCCGTCGAGATATGGGCAATACTAGAAGAAATGGATAAGACGAGAATTCGTGTCACAATATTCTAACCTTGTCCAAAACATTTACAGCAATGCAATACTACGGGTCAAACTGGGTGAGAACATGCTCACGGAGAAAATCCCGATTGAGAACCCAACCCAACCTAAATTATTCACCTTGGCACGGGACGACATCTCAAGAAACTATCTTGAGAAAAGAAGGGCATCCATATCAACAGCACCTACCTAAATCACCTGAGATTAGCGGCGACATCGTACTGATAAGCAGCGACCCAAAGGAGTTGAAGAACATGCAGGAGGATACTTCATAAAATATCAGCAGTAGTGGGTCTAAGAATGATCATTCAAAAGACAAAGGTTTTGAGTTCAGACACTCCCCAGCATTTGATAGAAAATCATATTATAGAAGTTGTAGAATAGTACCTTGGTCACTATATCAAGCTGGGCAATGAAAACCAGACCACCGAAATACCAAGAAGGATATGATTGACATGAATCTCGGAAAACCTGAAACGGAAAGTGTTCGAATTCTGTGTACTACCGGTAACAACATATGGCCTAGAAACCATCGTGCTCATGAAAAAAGTGCCAATAGGCTAAGAATAAACCATGGAGGAGGCAATGCTAGCGATCATTCACAGAGACAGAGTGCGCAATGAGGAGATCCGAAGGCGCACTAATATCACAGACGTAGTGGCATTGATTGATCTGCCAACTGAAATCATAAATTCACTTTCGAGTAACCACATAGGTACAAGTAGCAAAAAGTTCTAGGAAAGAATCGATCAAATTAACACCATAGCCTTTTCAGAAAGTATTTTTTATTCAGGTTCGAGACATAATTGACAGTTTCAAATCTAAAAGCACTAAGGATATATACGGACTTAATATGGTGATTGTAAAGGATGTCAAAGACTTTATAATCACACCTTTAACTAGGTTGATTAATATATGTATTTAAGAGAATATTTTTCTTGACGTTTTTAAAGCTAGTATGATTATCCCTATTTATAAAAAAAGCAATCCTGAGCTTATTCAGAATTTTCGACCAATATCGCTTCTACCGATACTCTCGAAGATCTTTGAAAGGGTTTTAAATATGCAAATCGCTAAATATTTTGAGGAGAACAACTTATTCACAACTTCACAGTTTGGATTTAGGCAGCGCATGGGCACTTGTGACGCAATATTAAATTTTGTAGAAATGGCTCTGTTTTGAAAATAGAGAGTATATGACTGCCGTTTTTTGCGATCTTAGCAAGGCGTTTGACTGCGTACAACATGATTTACTGTTACAAAAGTTAGAAAAATATAATTTTGAAACAGGCAGCCTTAACTTAATTAGATCATATTTCATCAACAGATCTCAAGTCGTTAAGTCTCAAGGAAGGCTTTCAGAGAGAAGGAATGTTTGTATAGGGGTTCCTCAAGGCTCGATCTTGGGGCTCTTCTTTTTCTGATTTATGTTAATGATCTGGCAAGAAATATTGACAGTGCCTCTGTGGTCATGTATGCTGACGACACTACATTGATAGCTAAAAGTAAAGATCTGGGTGTTGCGAGGGAGTTGGCAGATTCGGCGCAGTCAACTGCTAGGGATTGGTTTGAGTCGAATTTTCTCGCTCTCAATCGGGACAAGACGATCGCATCAACCTTTACACTACGGCCCCTTAATGAATGAAACCCCAATTTCGTTAAATATCTCGGGGTTAATATCAATCCCGCGTTGACCTGGGAGCTACAAACGACTACGGTGTGTGGCAGTCTGAGTAGTTTGCAGATACTAAGCAAGAACGTGTCTGGGCGGGTTTTGAGAATCGCGTACGTTTCCCTGTGCCAGTCCCTAATGTCATATGCATTAATTGCATGGGGGGTGCTTCATCTTGTGATAGAGTTTTTCGACTGTAAAGGCGTGTAATACGTATAATTGATGAGAGTATCGTGAGGATTGTAAAAATTCTTTCGTATCTTTGAAAATCTTAATGTTTCATTCCTTATACATGTACCAGTGCATGTTATTTGTCAAAATCTGTTTGTCACTCATGATGATGTGCACCAATACCCCACAAGAAACAAAAATAAAATTTTACAGAGGTATTCGAGATTATCTAAAGGACGCCAAAGTATTAATATAATATGTGTAAAGTCTTTTAATAAGTTGCCAGCGGCGATTTCCAGATTGCCACTAAACATATTTAAAAGTAAATTGCATACTTTTTTGATGCGCGTGTTTGATACGAGTGTAATACTATATGTTTATACACAATAAAGATATTATTATTATTTTTGCTGGCACATGACAAGACGGCATTAGATGGCCTTAAAAGATCATTTAGGGTAGACCCCGGTCAGCAAATCAAAGCATGGGAGATGGCTAAAAATTGATTATAAATGGCGTCAATCAGAGATATATAGAAAAACATGGAGGAGGCCTACATCTAGGAGTGGATAAAGACGGGCTGAAAAAGAAGAAGATGACCTCTTCTTGTACTGGTCCCAATATATGCCTCAATACTTTTCTTTCCACGGTGTCCATTGTATTTTTGTTTTTCTCTGTAAGACTCCATATTTCAGAGTCGTATATTAAGATAGGCCTAATTATTTGAAGATATGCAGTAAGGCAAAATAGGGGCCATTAGCAAGAATAACGCTTCTTTTTATTTCTGAATCTTTCTTTCCATCGTTGGTAACGAGAAGAGGTTCACATGTTCGATGTTGTCACCAGTATGTAGTATCAGTAGTAGTGGGGTAACTACAGCATCTGTTGGCTGTATTAGGATATTTATTTTGCTTGTGTTGATTTCCAATCCTATATTTTTCGCATTTTATTCCCATTATATTGATGTCACCTCCGTAAGCTGCCAGTTGAACTATTTTGTTTGTCAGCAGGTTAGACCTACTTACTTCTGATATCCTTATTACGTATTCTAAAGCCCGTGTACTTGCTATACCACCTGTGAGAATGTACATGGCTCGGTAGGTTGCTCTTGTGTTTGAGTCTGACATTATCGCTTTGGTAAGGTTTACCAGCTTTGTCGGTATTTCCAATTCGTGCATAAAGCTAAGTTTCCACATGCACGGATTACTGGCGCCAGTTCATTTGCATGTCGAAATAGCAAAAAACCACTGGCGCCAATTAATTGGTGCCTGTAATCATAGCGTCAATAAAGTTGACGCTATTTCTACTTTTTGACGCCAGTAATAGTATTTATAAATAAAACGTGTAACTATTAATGTGTTCGTCCAACTAAAATGGACAAATCCTGTTAATAAACCGTCCAAAAAATAGACATCAGAACAAACAGTACTATTTCTAGAAACGTATCAACAATATCCTTGTTTGTGGAATCAGAAAATTCCACAATATAAGAACCGACTATCACGAAATGAAGCTGTCAGAAGGATAGTTGAAATTATGAAGAAAACAGTTCCTAATTTTGACGAAACCTCGGCAAAAGCGAAAATACGAAGTATAAGTAAAAATACGAGTACTTCACCATAAAGCACTTCACATATAAATTTAGAAATTGTGCTGTTTGGCAAACGATACATATTAATGATAATAATAATATATTTTCGTAATAAACCATTACTATAAAACGTCATTGAATACATAAGAAATAAAATGAAATATCAATAATACAAATATACATTTCATGGCAATTACACACTACACATTACGCATTAAAATTGTGAGACTAAACTGTCGTGAGATATTCTTCGCACGAATAGAAAACGTTCTCCATCAAATATTCTTTTATTTTCCTCTTAAACCGTTGCCTAGACAGCGTAATCAGATGCGGTGGTAGTTCGTTGTAGAGTTTTGGACCCCAGTAATCCACATACTTTTGCGTTGATGCAATCCTGTGGTACGGTACCTGGTATTGGAGTCGTGATCTTGTCAGATAGCTATTGGAGGGAAAACTGTCTCTGTTATCATGAACATGCAGCAATGCCGTAAGTATATATATGCTTGGAGAGATAAGTATATTCTCATATTTAAAGTAGTTCTTACAACTTTCGTTTGTTCGCAGCCCACACAGCACCCGCAATGCCCTCTTCTGTAGTCGGAAGATCCTCAGGAAATCAGATGTCCTACCCCAGAAAAGAACACCATACGACGCCACCGAGTGAAAAGATGCAAAGTATGACAACCTGGCTGCCTGGTGAGTGCCTACTTGTTTTAGTCTTCGTATTCTAAAGATAGCAGAAGTCAGCCTAGTCCTCAGATGCTTCAAGTGCACTTCCCACGTCATTCCGCTGTCCAGATGCATACCCAGAAATTTTACAGTTGTAGATTCCCTCCCAGTTTGAGTGGTCTCCAACACTATATGTTCTGTTTTTTTCACTGTTTAGTTTGAGCAGATTATTACTGAACCATTCTTGAGTGGACAATATTGCTTCTTGTGATTTAGCCATCAAGTTATCCTTTGTAGTGTTCTTTAATACGATGGATGTATCATCAGCATATAAATATGGAGAGGTCCAAGAACAGACCATGTTTGATTTTTACACTAGACGATCTATTACCATTATACTCAACATATTGTTGTCTGTCCATCAAATAAGATCTTATTAAATTTAGTTGTAGACCTCTAATACCATAAAACTGAAGTTTACTCAGGAGAATGGAGTGGCTGATGGTATCGAATGCCTTGCTGAGGTCCAGCAGGTCGATCTGAACCACATTTTACTCATCGTGTGCTTTCGTTATGAAGGCAATTACTTCAGAAACAGCCGTCATTACCGATTTGCCTGATTGGTACCCGTGCTGACTGGTCGCAAAATATATATTGGTTTTAAAGTATTTCACCAACCTTCTTGCTATTAACCTTTCAAATATCTTGGAGATAACGGGCAAAATTGATATAGGTCTATAATTGTTATAGTCCTTTTTATCACGCTTCTTATATAATGGCAGGACTCTCGCTGTCTTGTACAACTCTGAAGGAAAAATTCCATCGCTGACACATTTATTGAACATAATATTAAGATTGACCGCACACTGTTCTATTACTGAGTTTATTATATTGCTGTTAAGCCATATGTGTCAGCTGTGTAGCTGTTCTTAATTTGACAAACTGTTGCTATTATTTCTGTTGTTGTTATTGATCTGAAGAAAAAAAAATTTACATTTGTCACATTTAAGTTTTTGAGGTAGCGATCAAGAGAGTTAGTTGTTGATTGCAATAATGTAGAAGAATCTCCAGAAGCCAAAAATCTTAAAGTTGCTTGCAGTTTTACGTGAGCTGGAAAGGCATCTCTCATATGCGTATGTTGTTTTTGTATTTTAGATACTTGCCTCAACAAAAACATGAAACTCTTTTCAGTTCATTCTTAAATGATTAAAAAATGCTTGCTGATCTTCTTTAATTCTCTAATTAAAGTACTAGACGCACCTAGGTTATGTCTACGTGCAATCCACGATCTAACCCAGCAACTATGTTTTCGTTTTTTTTTTTCTTAATAAAGTGTGCAGTTCCAAGGAACACATTTGGACTACCATATTAATGCCAGAAATTCCCAAAGAAATCATTTTATTTGATACAAAAAAAGAGACTCCTCCCCTTAAAAAGCTTGAATTAGATTATACTAATATTATTTGGAGTGCTTTACACTCAATTCCAAATTATTTCATGTTTTGACAATGTTAATAATTAAAGCTTTATAACTTTTCAAGCACAAAATGTAAAAATTTATTGAATGGTACCGTTTTTCAAGCACAAATCCAATGAGAAGCGTTCAAACGATTTTTATTTGGCAACATAACATTGTTCAAATCAAAAGTTAATGTGGAAACTTAGCTTAATGTAGTATAATTGTTCTCGGATTACGGCAAACATTAATATCGTGCTCCCAGGTTTTATTTAGCATTTCCTTAACAGTAAAGAGTAAATCCATGATCGATCTTTCCACTTTAAACCCTGCCTGGTATTCCCCAGCTATATTTTGTAATATAACTTTCTAAAGACTAGATAAAGAATTTTTGATCTTCGCTAATTATTAAAAATAAGCAATTAATTTATCAGTTTTGTGTGTTAGTTTGTGTCTCATTACTGATTCAACATCGTTAAGAACCTCAGAGATTTCTATCTTCTGCCTTTATAATTAAATTTAATGGTATTACAACCTATAATTTACAGAGGCTTCGCATTAATAATTATACCGAACTGTTTATTAAAGAACCACTAATTTTATGGGAACTTTAAATCCTTCTTAAACCCTTTTACGATATATTTATTTATTTATCGTTGTTTATTCTCGCTATTTTATCGATCCTTTCTATAATGTAATTTTTATAAGCTACTAGAACTACCTAGAAATTCAACAGGTTATAAATTGCCTCCGTTATCGTTGATTAACGTTTGACGACTTAATACCTTAAACAATTATTTTATAAATTGAGAGATTGCTGCACGTATATTCTAGTATTACAGGAGAAATAATCACGTTAATTTATTGAAAGATTAATAGTTTAATAAGAAATTGTATGGTGAAAGATTCGTTACGTGCCCAGATGAAGGTTACTGTGGTAATTGGTGAATGTATCGACTTAATGAATTATTAGTTAATTTTACTTACATCTTCTAAAACATTATCTAGATTCAAAATGTCGTTTTTGAAGCATTCGTTTCCCCACTTTGCACAAATATCTTGATATGTGTAGTATTCGTCGTCGAAGTAAACGGTTGTGTTTTGAATTATCTCGTCTAAACGGCGCAATTCTTTCCAAATTTCCATTCGAAGCATATTTTTGTTTCCATCGTTCGATGTTACTATTACTCTACCAAATCGACCTAAAGATATTAATGATTAAAAAATAGATCAATAAATATTAATACGTAAATCCATTAAAATTTAATAAGATTAATGATGCTAAATTATGATTACAAGATAATTTTAGTAGAAACTTACCGGCTCTTGTAATTCTGGCAACATTAAACTGACTAGTATAGTTAACACTAAAAAGTTTTTCAACAACCGCCCTCTCGTGTTTCCCGTCACCGTTAATCGGACTGAAAAGATACTCCGGATCTATATTGTACTTGATTCGTTGAAAACCAGTAACACACAGTAATGTCACTAACACCGGCACTATTATGAAGTAACCTGGATGTTTTCCAACGAAAAGACCCAGTCTGAAGAACGCCTTATTCAATAAATCGTCCACACATCTTAACCCCATCTGAAAATAAATTAAAATTATAAAGTTAATAATTTCAAACAAATTAAGTAAATAAATTAATAGTAACCTCGATATTAATAAACTAGATCACCTTAAACAGAAACTTGCAAATAAATTATGACCTATCGATATCCACCAACAACTATACATTTTTCAATTTCTTTCACCTTCTGTACGAACCCAACAATTTCCCATTGAACGAACCGATTGATTACACTGTTCTAATGGAAAAAACGAAAACTACCATCCTGCATCGGGAAAAACCACATTAAAAAACACGCGAGCCCACACTCGAACGATCGTTTAAACTCGAACACTTTCTAAAATTTCTAGTTATAGCATAATGCACCAAACGAATCTCGAATTGTACCGAAGAAAAATTTTTATTTTCAAAAATCATTCAAGAAATGCAAAAAATAAAAGTATAAGCGAAATAAGGATTTAATAATAAAATTATTGTTAATGTTGTAAGTGTTGATTTTGATTTACGATAAGGATAATAATTGTTCGGTAAGAGTAAAGGAGAAAGGATACGGAGAAGCGTGTAGGTAGGAAGATTGTTTTGCATGAAGTGATAGTGGAAGTGAGCAAGAGGTTCTGTATTCTTTTACTTTCAGAAAATGGTTAGCGTAAATAATTAAATAATGACGTTTGGGTGTACTAAAACAAGTTAATTTAAAAATGTGTTACTATATTTTTAAGTTGTATCATTAATTCCTTAATGTGAAATAATTTATTTTGGATTTTTTCTTACATTTTTAAAGTTAATACAGATAAATTACGCTTACTGTGACTATAAATTCGTTTGGCGCAGACCTTTCAATCTATGTGCCCTAACATTTTATCAATGTTTTGTATAATCTCTAATCTGAAAAGGATATAGATTTGATTAAAATACGAATATGAAGAGAACGTCGTAAGTTACTGGCAGAGAAGAAAGAAAAGACGAAATAAAAATTTTCGCTATACAATTCATTTCTTGAAGGATCCTTGTGGAAATATCGCCAATTATTGATTAAAGTATCCTCTTCTTAATGTAACAAGCCGTTTTAAAAAATCACTTTTAGTTCTTAAGAAAAAAATTTTTGAAATAATCGACAATTTTTTCAAATTTTGCAATTTTCACCGATTAACTTTTAATAATTCGTATAAAAACGATTTCTGCGAATATGAGTATGAAAATTTCCCAAAATGTTAATAAAAGTGCCCTCTTTCCAATGAACCAACACGTTTTGAAAAATAACTTTTAGTTTTTGAGAAAACAATATTTGAAGTTTTGATAAAATTTTCAATGTTGCAATTTTCATCGATAACTTTCAAAATTCGCTATAGAATTCATTTCTTGTGGTAGAATCGCCAATTATTAATTAAAGTATCTCTTTTTTAGAGTTGCTTCGTTAGTTAAATCAGCATCAAAACAGTTTATTTTGTATCTTGTATCCAAATAAGTTGACATATCTTATCCGGTATCTTATCGGAAGGGATGCCGAATATCCGGTATCGGGCTTTTCGCAAAATCACTATCCGCCTCATCACTACTGAACATGTGTTGAAAGAAACTAAATATAGATTATAATCTGCGCAATGTTAAAACTTTCCGAAAGTGGCTGTAAAATTTTAAAATGACGTTTTTATAGGATAGATGTAAGTACAGAACTGAAGCTATTTATACAAACATACTGCCCGAAAATCTGAATAAACCCGATGAAATCGGATTTAATCTGGGAATACGAAAGTCTTGCAAGTCCTGCAAATACTTTCACCATCAAATACTGATGTCAAAGCATCTACTTCAAGCAAACGTACCACTAACTTGTTAAAATTGTCATTAGTTTGTTAAAACTTATTTACTAACCGCATTGACTTATAAGACTTTGTTTTTGTTTGGTTCATATTAACAATCATGATAATAACTTATATGATAATAACCTGAGCATTGGAGCATGAGACCGCATGAGACCTCTAACACGGGAGTTTGAAGATTATTTCCCTCTCCCTCTTTTGCCTTGTGGATTCCAGTCCAATGCAGTCCTCGCAATATGTTCAGGTTACCTTCATAGCGCGTGTCCAATGTAGGTCTATTTCCTCTAACAGATTTCTTGACTGAGTTAGGTTTGCTTTGAGAGTCTTCACACCTCATCGTTGTTAAGATTGTCCACATTTCATATCCGTACAATAGAACCGATTTTACATTACTGTTATATACCCTGATTTTATTGTTTCTTGTTAGATGTGGGCTGTTTCATACCTCCCTTAGCATTACAACGGTCCCTCTAGCTGTATTTGTGCAGGTTTTTACTTACCTACCTAGATAACGTTGCTATGCTAACCTAGATAAGTGAACTCCTGAACGTTTTCTATTGCGCACCCTCGTTGGTTGTTGCTGTTGATCCTTAGCGATTTGGATTTTGAAGTATTAATTTCGAGGCGCTATATTGGTCTGCTCACTCAGTTTTTCTAGGTGCATTAATAAATCATTGAAAGTCTGGGCTACCAGGCACATGTCATCTGCATAATCTAGGTTTAGTAGTTGTTGGTGTAATCTCATGTTATACCTCTTTGTGGGAGGTATTCATGGTCTAATCTAGAGCATGTTAAAGAGTTATTGGTACTATGTTACTAACAACGTTATTAAAATACAATCATAATTAAGAATCATCATCCAAAGATAAATATTTAATTGTGTAAGCATGGTATAATAGCTGAACATCAAACTGAAGTGTTTCGTCCTTTTCTTTCTTATTGTCTTTTAGATCCTTTATATATCTCATGCCCGCTATAGTCTTGAGTCATACAATTGACGTTTTTAATAAATATCCATAATCCATTCGTTGCCTCCAATTTGTCCCGCCATTGCTCATACGGTTTAATACGCTGATGTTATTCCTATTGGAATTGCCCTGTTTACAACATATCTCTATAATATGATGAAATAATAAGTTTTTTTTTGGGTATTCTTGGTTTCCTGACTTCCGGCGTTATACGACGTAAGATCTTGGTTATTTCTGTAGTCTTGTCCGCAACCATTCGTATGTAGCAAGTCATTCTCATATCTTTATCAAGATATACACCGAGATATCTGATCATCTTTAAGATTTCAATCATTTTGGCTTGGGTTGGGATAGAAGTGTTCGTCTCCCTTGTACCACTAACACTTTTGTTTTATCAGTAGTTACCTTAACTCCCATAGAATCCTTATGGAAATCGAATTACGTTCTACTCCATCTACATTTTCAGCACATAATCGTAGTTGACGCCGCCGAGTGTCAGTCCAAGGATTGATTCCTGGTCAATCAGAGGACACGATTTTTTTTCTCCAGCAACAGATATAATTTAATTATTCTCGTCAAATTGATTCTTGTCGATGGAGAAGAGTTGAAAGCAAGAAATAAATATGCAATTCTCTCAATCTACCATTCAATGGCATATATCGTTGATTTACATTCTTTCAAGCTCCTGGCCACTTTCCGATTGCTTCCGATCACTTAAGTATTGCCGAACTACTTAGTCTTAATTATCTTTTGTAACTCCTGTGCTGTCATTTCAAACAGAATTACAGCTAAAACTCTTTACTTTTTGGTAAACTTACACGTTGTTCTTTTCTTTTCATAATCTCGGTTACCATTTTTCGCACGTACTTCCATTTACGTTCACTGTTCACCATATGCTTCATCAGAATCATAAGATTCTTTATCAGGTTCTCACACATTAATCTTCCGATTTTTAAAAAATAGCACTATCTCGAATATCATTTTTTAATTTCTCGCGTTGAATGCAATATTCAACGGGATGTTTTCACAATTTTATGTTGAATTTCCGCAGATCAACAGTCATATTGCAGACATTGTTTGGCAAAATCAGTTATTCCTATATATTGAAAGATAACTATTATGCTTCTTTTGTCTAAGGTGGGCATCTCGCTTTTTTATTACATATAATGTAATAACATTTCGTAGGCAGCTGATGAAGACAGTGTTATGGCATTGATTTTGTTAAATTTTCTATTCATTCGATGTGGTTTAATTACTTGATTCTGTGTGCAAATGTGTGATTGAGTGCGATATTTTTGGGTTATTTGCAATTTATTTTGTAATTAGTACCAAAATGTATGATACTTTATTATTGTGTATGTTTGAACGCATAATTTTGATAGCAACAACGATATAATATATTACAAAAAAAATAGAAATATGGTTAAGTAAAATGAGACTTTCGCTTAGGCAAGTTGACCAGAAGCATCTACCATTTTATTATCATTTTAAAGTCTGATTATATTCCTTTATTCCCACTTAATGTCGTATATTCAGGAAAAAATTGTGTATGTGTCGAGATAAAGTACTATTTCCACTTACAGAAGGTGAAAGTTGTTAAATTGTGTTTAGCCACCCATAAATCATGTGGATTTATCAACGTTTTCAATACAAATTGAAATTTACATTATTACACGTAATATATTATCTTTCCACATTATTATGGCAATATTATTAGTTAAAAAAGCAAAGTATCGACTTGATTCACTTCATTTCTAAACACTTCGTATGTATAAATAGGTATATATATGGGTATATAAATATATCAGACAAAGAAATGATTTCTTTTTGGAGATTTCTACCTTTCACATTTCATGAATAGGCCTTTAAAAAGTGATGGGTAATCTCAAATATGACACATTCTCTTCCAAATGTGTATTGTAATATAGCGAATTAAAATTAAGTAAGAAATATTTTATAGGATATACAAAGAAAGATTAATGGATTTAGGAATTAATACGATTTCCTCCCATTGTGATTTGTTAGAAAACGAAAATAATATTGATACAAATAAATTACTTAATCAAATAAATACAGAAAACTTGCCATGACACTTTCCATCGATGGTGTTGTTAAGAATTTTAATTATAGACGATCCATTTAAATCTATTTTTAAATGTATTTGTAAGTTGGTATGGGTGTTACGTGTGTTTGATCACGTCTTTTTAATCAGTGCCATTTATGGTTTAG